TCTGTGGTTCTCCTCTGTGGTGCCCCTCTGTGGTGCTCCTCTGTGGTTCTTCTCTGTGGTGCCGCTCTGTGGTTCTCCTCTGTGGTGCTCCTCTGTGGTGCCGCTCTGTGGTGCCGCTCTATGGTGCTCCTCTGTGGTTCTCCCCTGTGGTGCTCCTCTGTGGTGCCGCTCTGTGGTTCTTCTCTGTGGTTCTCCTCTGTGGTGCTCCTCTGTGGTTCTCCTCTGTGGTTCTCCTCTGTGGTTCTCCTCTGTGGTGCCGCTCTGTGGTGCCGCTCTATGGTGCTCCTCTGTGGTTCTCCTCTGTGGTTCTCCTCTGTGGTGCCCCTCTGTGGTGCTCCTCTGTGGTGCCCCTCTGTGGTGTCCCTCTGTAGTGCTCCTTTGTGGTGTCCCTCTGTAGTGCTCCTTTGTGGTGCCCCTCTCTGGTTCTCCTCTGTGGTTCTCTTCTGTGGTTCTCCTCTGTGGTTCTCCTCTGTGGTGCTCCTCTGTGGTGCCCCTCTGTGGTGCCGTTCTGTGGTGCCGCTCTGTGGTGCTGCTCTGTGGTGCCCCTCTGTGGTTCTCCTCTGTGGTGCTGCTCTGTGGTGCTGCTCTGTGGTGTTGCTCTGTGCTCTGCCCTGTGGTGCTGCTCTGTGGTGCTACTTGGTGGTGGGTGAGCCTTGTGGTCCTCCACTAAGCTGATAGTAGTGCTGTAGAACATTCCTTTACAATGTGTGAAGATGCCAGGCAGTGGTGGCGCACGCCTTTAGTCCCAGCACTCGGGAGGCAGAGGCAGGCAGATCTCTGTGAGTTCAAGGCCAGCCTGGTCTACAGAGTGAGATCCAGGACAGGCTCCAAACTACTAGAGAAACCCTGTCTAAAAAAAAAAAATTAAAAAATAAAAGGAACTACTTTTATGCCGGTTGTGGTGGCGCACACTGGTAGGATTTGCTGAAGGAGGCAGAGGTAGGAGAATCACAGTGTGTGAAGATGCGTCACTATGATTGGTTTAACAGCTAAACAGCCAATAGCTAGTCAGGATTTTCAAGGCAGAGAGAATGCTGGGAAGAAGAGGGCGTAGTCGCAAGGAGATACAGAGGAAGCATGAGATGTAGGAGATGAAGTAACAAGTCATGAGCCATGTGGCAGCACATAAGTTAATAGACATGGTTAATATAAGTTATAAGAGCCGCTTAGAAACAAGCCTAAGCTATTGGCCGAGCTTTCATAATTAATAAGTCTCTGCGTGGCTATTTGGGAGCTGGAAGGTGGGACAGAGAAAGACCAACGACATGGTAGAGTCTATTCGGTGAGTTCAAAGCACCGTAAATTACAGATGAAAGGTATTTTTCATTTCCATCAAATAAAAACTACAGAAGAGTCTTCACAGTGTGATATTAAACATGTCTCCTGTTAAAATGTGAGAGGGGGTGTGGGGTAAAGGATGAAGGTGATGACAGGTGAGTGTGGGATGGTGAGTGTGGGATGGGGTGAGTGTGGGATGGGGTGAGTGTGGGATGGTGAGTGTGGGATGGGGTGAGTGTGGGATGGTGAGTGTGGGATGGTGAG